AAGGCTGTGAGGTAGGATCTTATCACACCCATTGCACGGATGAGGAAAGCCAAGGACACATTGCTGCCTCTGAGTAACCGCTGATGAGGAAGGCGGGGAAGGAAGGAGCCACTGAAGTACAGAGCGGGTTTGCACCTGAGTTGTACATAGCAGAGCATTTCAGAAAGCCTTAATGCACGCCTGCTACGTGCCAGGCAGACAAAATCCCACCCTTCCTGAACTTGGCCGTGTCACAGGGAAGCTGCCCAGCAAGCACAATAAGCAAGAAGAGACTGTAGTCCCTGAGAAAATGATGGAGAACAGGCAGCCTAGGGCACAGGTCAGCAAACCCCGACCCATGGGCCAAATCAGCCTAGGGCTTCTGTATACCTACCAGCGCCTGGGTGTGTGTGTGTGTGTGTGTGTGTGTGTGTGTGTGTGGTGCTGGGCTTGAACTCAGGGCCTACACCTTGAGCCTCTCCACCAGCCCTTTTTTGTGAAGGGGTTTATTGAGATAGGGTCTTGTGGACTCTTTGCCCAGGCTGGTTTCGAACCTCGAGCCTCCTGATCTCTGCGCCCTCAGACTCCAAAACCCTGGCATCTTACATGGAGTGGGCGGAGTCATGCCGCAGTGTGTCATGAGCCAGTGTGGAGGAATGTTTACGAGAGCCCAGAAGAAACAACCTTGGACCGTGGCATGACCAAGCTCAGCAAATCCTCTGTCTGCCCCTGGTACTGCTGACGCTGAGTGTTGAGTGCCTCCATAAAGTCTGGCGTGAATAATTGCAGCTAGTTCTGGCTGGGCTCTTCCTTTGGGCCCCACCCTGGGTCACATTTGCAGTGACTCTCCTGGCACCTTGGAGCTAGGCGGTCTATGTCCATTCCAGTTATTTATTGGTGGCACTGGGGTTTGAACTCAGGATTGCACACTTGCTGGGCAGGCGCTCTACCACCAGCCCTTTTATGTTGTGATGGATTTTTTTCTTTGAGATAGGGTCTTTCAAACTATTTGCCTTGTGCTGACTTTGAACCGTGATCCTCTGGATCTCTGCCTCCTAAGTAGTTGGGATTACAGGCGTGAGCCACTGGCACCTGGCCTGCTATACCCATTCTAGGCACTAGGACATTGGGACATAGGGAAGGGAAGATGCTTACCCCAGGTTACCCAGCCAAGAAGACACAGAACTGGATTCAAACCCAGGCTTGTCAGTTCCCTGAACTATTAAATGTTTCTGGTTCTCTCTACTTTCTAATTTGTCAGTAACAAGATATTACTTTATGATGGGAAAATTTTTTTTAAAGGGAAGTCTCCCTAGAAGGTGATTCATTGATCTTTATTTTATTAGCCATGTGAATTACTCCAATAAAATTAAAATCCCACCTAGGACTGGGAGCCAGTGGCTCACGCCTGTAATCCCAGCTACTCACGAGGCAGAGATCAGGAGGATCATGGTTCAAAGCCAGCCCAGGGAAATAATTCGAGAGACCCTATCTCGAAAAAACTCTTCACAAAAAAGGGGCTGGTGGAGTGAGGCAAAGTGTAGGCCCTGAGTTCAAGCCCCAGTACCACAAAAAAAAAAAAAAAAGTCATCCAAAAGGCAAATGAACAGATGTTCCATTTTCTTACTCATCAGGGAAATGCAAATTCAAACTGCCCAGGAGCTACTACCACACACGCACCAGAGTGACTAAAAATGAAGCCCACAAAGCCAAGGGCTGGCGAGGAGCTGGGACAGTTGGAAACATTCCATTCAGCCAGTGGCAAGACAGAACTTACTGCAACCACCTGAGCAAACTCCTTGGTAGAGTCTGCTAAATTCAGTCATCCAGCTCGTGGGGCTGTACCCAAGAGGAATGTGGAGATATGTTCACCAAAAAAAAAAAGGTACTAGAGTTTTCTTTAAAGCAACACTATTTGCAAGAGCCACAAAAAATAAAGGAAACTCCAGTTGCCACAGATAAATAAATCATGGTGTATTTATCCAATGGAAGACTACTTTTTTTGAATTTATTTTTATTTTTGGCTCTACTGGGATTTGAACTCAGGGCCTCAGGCTTACTAGGCAGGTGCTCTATGACTTGAGTCACTCCACCACTCCAGAATATTATTTGATAATGAAAGAATGAACTTTATTTATCTGCCCAATCCAGAAGAAATTCACAACGATGCTGTTGAGTGAAAGAAGCCAGCCACAAGAGTTTATACTGAGGTTGGCCGCACGTGGCTCACGCCTGTAATCCCAGCTACTCAGGAGGCAGAGATCAGGAGGATAGAGGTTCCAAGCCAGCCTGGGCAAATTGTTTTTGAGACCCTATCTCAAAAATACCCAACACAAAAGAGGAGTGGCGGAGTGCCTCAAGCAGTAGAGCCTAGCAAGCATAAGGCCTTGAGTTCAAACCCCAGTGCCGCCAAAAAGAAAAAAAAAAAAAAAAGGTTTAAGTAATTTTAAAAAGTAGTAGGCTCATTACAGCCTTATCTTCCAAACTGGGTGGACAAGATGTCTGCGGTGTAGCTGTAATCGGATGGATATATTCTGCACTATTCTAACTGGTTTGTAAGTATTACCTTATTGAGGTAGTTATTGTTACTGTTATCACCCCCATTTAAGAGATGGGGAAACTGAGGCATGGTGAGGTTAAATCATTCATAATACTCATCTAGATTTAAACACAGGTCATCTGGCCCCAGAGTAGCTATTCTGTTCACCACCCCAAGGTCACCGTGGTGCATGAGCTGGGAGCTACATACCAGATTCCAAGAACGAGTTTTTACCTGGGCCGGTGGCTAGAATTCCTGCACTTTGCTGGGGGAAAAAAAATATCACCTCATTTAAGTCCTTTTCACTCAACAACCCTCAAAATGCGGCCTGGGGGCCCTGTGGATTCCCCCCCTCCACCCAAGAACTTTTTCCAGGGTGAATGAGGTCAGCGTGATTTTCACAAGACTGAGACGTGTTCCTGCTTGCTGGATCTCTGATGACATCATGGCTCTGATGGCTCCTGAAGGCATGCATGCACATTCTTGCGTTTAAAGCGTCTTTGTTTTATTCTCCCACGGGGCAGTAACCCAGGATACAAAAGCTCACACTGCATAAGAGTGAAACTTTTGTGTGTGTGTGTGCACGTGTGCGGCACTGGGGTTTGAACTCAACGTCTACACCTTGAGCCACTCCACCAGCCCTTTTTTGTGTGTGATGGTTTTTTCAAGACAGGGTCTTGAGATGCCCAGGCTGGCTTCCAACTGGGATCCTCTTGATGTCTGCCTCCTAAGTAGCTAGGATTAAAGGTGTGAGCCACCAGCGCCCATTTGCTGTCACTTAGATCCCAGGGCGGTGGGTGGAGGACTTAATAATAATAACGATAATAAATATTATAGTGACAATAGTAATCCCAGCTCAGGCTGGGGCCTGCTTCCAGGCCAGGCCAAGCTCTCTGCGGGGACATTTCACATGTCAACTTGTTGAATTCTCACGGTGGCCCGGGGGGCAGGTACTATGATTCCTTTTACAGCTGCGAAAACATAGATCCAAAGAAACTGAGTCACCTGCCTGTCATTGGTGGCTTTGGATTGCACGTCCCGGGGATGCCCAGCGGGGTCTGAGGACTCATCAGGGGACAGGGATTGGAAGCCAAGCCGGAAAGAACTGGGAGGCAGAAGTCACCGGAGTGGCGGGAGGGGACACGGGGATTCCCCTCGTGTCTGCGCACTTGAGTACCTGGGCATGGGACCTCGCCAGGGGCGTGGGGGAAGTGTCGGTGACCCCTGGGGGGGGTGGGTGGTCCGCAGCTGGAGGACGGGGCGCCTTGGGGACAGCACAGCCTTACCTGTCCCGAAGTTCGTCTGCTGTCCTGCTCAGAGGTGGCTGCGGTGGCAGTGGAGTCCCGGGCTTTTCTCGGTCCCCCGTCCTGCGCCCCACCCCGGGGGAGGCGGGCGGGTGGGCGTGGGGCGCCCGGGACCGGCCTGACCTGTGGGACCCGGGGCCCAGGCTGTCTGGGGAGCCTGTCACCCCGAGGCACCTGCTCTTCCGGGGCTGGGACACCTGTGGGCGGCGGGAGCCAAGGCCCCTGCAAACTTATAAATACTGCGGTGACATTGGTGGCTGGGACGGGACGAGCGAGCGGGCAGCCGGTGCCCCCGAGGGTGAGCCCGGGTCCCCAAGGGCAGCTCCGGGGCGGGGGTGGAGGGAGGGGACGGTCCCAGCACCCCCTCCATCCATCAGGTCCCCAGGGTGGGGTGGGGGCTGAGACAAAAGGGGGTGCACATGCAGGTGCTGTGCTGGGGACACAGCGGGAGCGAGGATGGAGGCAGGATGGGGTGCCAAGGCCTGAGGGGATACTGGGGACAGCCTGCGGGATGGGCTGCGCTTCTGGGGGACCTGAGGTGGGTGTGGGGGGGTGGAGGGTCACTAAGACCCCAGAGAGAGGCGGAGAATGAAATACAGAGTGATGGAGTCCCCAAGGGCAAGGCAGAATTTAGGAAGATGCAGGACAAGCCAGAAGACACTGAGGTTACCAAAAGCAGGATGGCTGGCTGAGGATGGGGGCGCCCAAGGCGACTCCCCCCAACAACCCCAGCCTCCAGCCTGTTTGACTGGGTCCAGAGCCTGCCCAAGGTTCAAATCCCGGCTCCATCTCATCCCTAGTGCACCTGCCACTGAATCACCTGCTTGCTCAGTTTCCTATCTGTGACAGGAGGGTGACAATCACAGCGGCCACCACCTCGTAGGAATGCCGTGGAGCTTCCTGAGCTAATCTATGCGAAGTGTTGAACACACGCGCTCGTTATTATTTCTCTCTCTCTCTCTCTCTCTCTCTCTCTCCAGCATCTGGACAACCACGCCCCTTAAAGACCTCCCTACCATCCTGTCTGGGACAGACAGACAGACAATCTGACCTACAGACCTAACCCAGTGCCTGCTCCCTCCATTCTCCATCCTCCTGGGCCCCTCCTGCCACCGCCTGGAATCTGATCTACTCCACGCCCTTCCCCTCCCGTCCCTGCCCCCCAGGACCCCTCTACCATGCGCCCCCTTCTTGGCTGCAGCTGGGGTTGCTGTCTGCTCCTGCTTTTGTCCTTGGAAGCCCAGGGGGGCCCAGACTATCCCAGCGCTGTCCCAGAGCAAGTCCACCTGTCCTACCCAGGTAAGTGGCTGGGACCCCTGGCTGTGCCTTTCCGACGTGCTCTGTGGGTTGAGGGCTCAGGAATGCTAAGCTCGACCCCCAGGGGTCTGCTCTGTGGGGAGTGATGGTGTAAGGCAATGGTCACTGTCCTTTCTCTTCCGGTCCCTGTCCTATCTCCAGGACCTGGTAGGTTAGTGCACAGGGGACCCTAAAGTCAGTTGTGAGTGAATCAGTGGCCCTGTCGCCATCCCTCCTCTTCTTTTTCTTTGAGAGGAAGTTCTTGTTCTAGCGGCAGCAGAACTCAGGAGCTGAAGGTTTAGTCTCTGAACTGCCTGGGTTTGAATCCCAGCTCTGATACCTGCTGGGTAATCTTGGGCAAGTGACTTAACCTCTCTGGTCTCAGCCTGTTCGTCTGAGGAATGGCTTATTAGGAGTGCAACCTTGTGAGGAGTCGGTCACAGCACTGAACTTGGTATGGAGCAGTGATTCTCCACCCGAAAAGGAACCTTTTACTGCTGAAAATTTCTGAAAACCCTGGGGCCTCAGTTTATTCCAGTTCTGTCTAGCAATATTTAGCGTGTGAGAAGTGAGGGCCAGGGTGACTCGGGAGCAACACTCGCCTTGCATTTAACAGTCCCCGTGGATCCCTGGCCCTTCAAAGGACAAATGGACAGGTAAACGAATCCCAGACATTTACGAATATTTACTAAGTCATTTTAAACGAATAATAACAAACACCGTCTGTGTTAATGTCAACGCCATTTATAATGAGAAAAGAACTATCTTACTAAGGAAGAAATTTAGGGAAGAAAGTAGTTTTTTAGCTTTTTGTTTCTGACGGTACTGGGGTTTGAACTCAGGGCCTCATGCTTGCTAGGCAGGTGCTCTACCTCTTGAGTCACATCCCCGGCTCTTTTTGCTTTGTTGATTGTATTATTATTATTATTTTGTGGTACTGGAGATTGAACTCAGGGCCACTGAGGCACACCCCAGTTCTTTTGCTTTTAGCTTGTTTTTCAGACAGGCCTCTGACTATGATCCTCCTGTGTCTACCCTCCCAGTAGCTGAAATTGCAAGTTATTTCAAAAAAATTTGTTAGCCAGGCTGTGGTGGCTCACGCCTGTAATCCCAGCTACTCAGGAGGTGGAGGCAGGAGGATCTTGGTTCAAAGCCAGCCTGGGCACATAGTTCTTGAGACCCTATCTCAAAAAAAAGTCACAAAAAAGGGCTGGTGGAGTTGCTCAAGGTGAGTTCAAGCCCCAGCACCGAGAGAGAGAGAGAGAGAGAGAGAGAGAGAGAGAGAGAGAGAGAGAGAGAGAAATTAAAGGGTTTTTTTTGGAAGTAACTTTAGACTTCCAGAAAGATCCAAGGATATCACGGAGTTCTTGTATACCCTTCATCCATTTTCCCCTAAAGGAAATCTCTTCTGTAACCATGGGACATTGTCAAAGCTAAAAGTACCATCAATGTCACATCGTTAATGGAACTTCGGATTTCGCCAGCACTCCCTCTGTCATCTTTCTTCTAATTCAGAGCCCCTCCTTGCATGTGGTGTAATGCCTTCTATCCGAGACAGGTTCTCAGTCTTTCCTTGGATATCCTGTCCTCGACATATCTTTTTTTTTCTTGAGACAGGGTCTTGCTGTGTTGCCCAGGGTGGCCTGGATCTCCCAGGCTCAAGCCATCTTCCTGCCTCAGCCTTTTCAGTACTGGGACTCCAGATGCCCTGCACCGTGCCTGGCCCCTTGACACTTAAGGAAGCTAAAGGCTAGCTGCAATGTGGAATCAGAGAGCAACTGAATAGACTGGGTGTGTGGCACACACCTGTAATCCCAGCTACTCAGGAGGTGGAGGCAGGAGGATCACGAATTTGGGGTCAGCATGGGCAAAGTTATCAAGACTCTATCTCTTTAATTAAATAACTAAAAAAGAAGAAAAGAGCTGGGGTGTATCTCAAGTGGTAAAATGCTTGTGAGGCCCTAGGTTCAATCCCCAGTATAGAAAAAAAAAAAGAAAGAAAGAAAGAAAGGAAGAACTGGCTTGATAAAGCGTTTTTCCTTAGGCCTCTGCAAATGGGCAAGACAGTAACCCCAGCCCATGGTGTCCTGTGAGGGTCCAGCGACTACAGCTGTCCTTTTTCGGTCACACAATAATAACCAGCAGTAAATCTGCTCTTCTTAAGTGTTTTATATGGGGAGCTGAGTTCACCTCACATCCACCTTAAGCTGTAGCTCCATTTTGTAAGCGTACACTTAGTCGGGTTCGGTAGTGCACACCTGTAATCCTGTGATCCCAGCACAGGAAGCTGAGGAAGGAGGGTTGTGAAGTCGAGGTCAGCCTGACCTACATAGTGCGACCCTGTCTCAAAAAAAAAAAAAAAAAATAAACAAAGGCTCGTAGAGGTGAGGAGTCTGACCCTATGTCACTTAACCTGGAATTTGAATGTGGGCAGAGCCTGTGATCTTCATTTTAAAACTTTTAATCTGGTACTAATTTTATTTTCTTTTTAGTGTAGTCTTGATAGCTCCCTCCTTCCCTGCCTCCCTCCCTCTCTCCCTTCCTCCCTTCCTTCTCTCCATCTTCCCTCCCTTCTTTCCTTCCTTCCTTCCATTCTCTCTTTTTTTTGAGACAGCTATCTCTGTGTAGCCCAGGCTGACCTTGAACTCTCACTCCTCTCACTCCTCCTGCCTCAGCCTCCTGAGTGCTGGGATTACAGGTGAGTACTACCATGCCTGACTTTTATATTTGTGCATCCTTAAGGATCCGTGGTGAGAATTCAATGCATGTATATAATAACCAAATCAGGGAAATATCTACTTCTACCTTTTTGATGGCTAGCCATGTTTATATTTTGGGAATTCATACTAATTTTAGACTTAACAAGAGTTCCAGAAATGTTATGGAGAAGTCCTTTCTCCCCTTTACTCAGCTATGTAGCCTGGTAGAATTACTAAAAATGGAAAGTCCAGCTGAGTACAGTGGCACATATCTATAGTCTCAGTTACTTGGGAGGCTGAGGCAGAAGGAACGCAGGAGTTGGAGGCCAGCCTGGTCAGCATAGCCAGGATGTCTCAAAACAAAAAACAAGCTGGGCACCAGTGGCTCACACCTGTAATCCCAGCTACTCAGGAGGCAGAGATCAGGAGGATCACGGTTCAAAGCCAGCCCAGGCAAATACTCAAAAAAAAACCCATCACAAAAAAGGGCTGGTGGAGTGGCTCAAGGTGTAGGCCCTGAGTTCAAGCCCCAGTACTGCAGAAAGAAACAAACCAGAAGGTGAGCATTGGGTACAACCGTATCGACACCACTGGAGACCTTGTTCAAGTTTCCTTGGTTCCTCCACTAATGTCTGCATTAATCGATATAATCCAGGATCTCGTGTTAGAATTCGTGACGTGACTCCTTCAATCTCTCCAACCTGTCAATCTCTTCTCCTCCTCCTTCTCCTCCTCTTCCTCCTCTTCATCTTCTTCTCTTCTTCCTCCTTTCCTTTCTCCTTTGACAGAATCTCACTATGTAGCCCAGGCTGGCCTCCAACTCAATCCTCTTGCCTCAACGTCCTGGGATTATAGAGATGCAGCTCAACACCTGGCTTTGGCCCCTAGTCCTTTGCCTTTTACAGTCCTCATATTTTCGAGCGTTATCAGTTCCTTCGTGAAACGGCCCTCGTTTGGGTGTTGTGTCTGGTGTGTCTCGTAACTGGGATTAAGTCTGTCTTCGGCAAGGCTTTCAGAGCTGTGATATTGGCTATGGCTTATTGCTGGGACTGTGACCTTGACTGGTTGCTGATGGCTTTCTCTCCCGTAAAGTGATTATTCTTTTCTCTGGAAATCCTGTTTTTCCACCAATGCTTAGCCACTGATCTTTGCACCTGCGATGGATCTGCCCTGTGCTAATTATCAGTGAGGGGTTCACCAAATTGTGGCTTTTCTAGTTTTCTTATTATGCCTCACTGAAATGTGGCTGTGAGGAGGAGCTCCCCCTGCCCACTTCTCCCCTTATTCATTCATGCCGTAGGCTTGGGCTATTTCTGTTAGCTCGTGAGTAAGTGAGAATCCATTGCTATCATTATGATTTATTCTGCTGCTTGTGTTTTCCTGGATTTGATTCTCTGGGAATTTCTTTGGAGGGACTTCCTCTTTCTTTTTCTCCTTTTTTTTTTGTGGGGGGGAGCAAGTGAGCCTTTTGTTTTCTTTATTTTTTTGGTGGTACTAGGATTTGAACTCAGGGCCCCACACTTGCTAGGCAGGAGCTCTACCACTTGAGCCATTCCACCAGTCCATCTTGCTTTGGTTATTTTGGCGATGGAGGTCTTCCAAACTGTTTGCCTGGGCTGGCATTGAACCTTGATCCTTCCAATCTCAGCTTCCCAAGTAGCTAGGATGCCAGATGTGAACCACTGACATTTGGCTGTTTTGTTCTTTCGGGTCACTAGCCTCTTTTTCTGACACCACCAATTATTTCCAGCCCATCCCTGGAATCATCGACTTCTCCCGGTTGCTTTTGCTGGAGAACAGGGAATTAGAAGCCAAGATGTGCGCGCTCTGTGCACCCAGCGCTGCTGGGTGTTCTTGCGTGGAGTCCCCACTGACAGCACAGTCATGTCTGTGTCTCTGTGCCACCTTCTCTCTGTCAATATGCAATACCAGGCGACCACAGTGACACCTCTGATCTCATCTAACACCAGGGTCAAATTTCACCGCCCTCTTTCCTTCTTTGTAGCCTCTTTTTCCAACACTGGCAAACCTGGCCCTGGAAATCTATACTGTACTTTGTTCATTCCTAGTGTATGCATGAAGCACTTCAGAATCATCCACCTGAGTCCCTTCGAGGAGTATTACTAAGTGGACAGCAGAACTGACACACAGTCCTTTTTGTTTGCAGCCAGATGGGACACTGCTTCCCAGTTATTTTCCTTCCCCACTCCTTTCTGTGTGGTTATGTCCTTTGTTTTGTAATATAGCAAGGTCCATGTGTCAGTGTTTATGTTTCACAGTGGGTTCTTCCATGTTCTGGGTGGCTTTTAAATTGTTTTTGAAGTACTAGGATTTGAACTCAGGGTCTCACGATTTCTAGGCAGGCGCTCCACCACTTGAGCCACTCCGCCAGCCCTTACTGCCTTAGTTTGATTTTAGATAGGGTCTTGTGCTTTTGTCTAGCCAACCACAGACCTGAGATCTTCCTACCTTCTCTGAGTAGCTGGGATTATACATGTCCACCACCATGCCTGGCCCTGGTTTTAATTTTTTTTAATCTTTGGGTGTGTGAAGGAAACAGAAAATATGTCTGTAGTTCTAGGAGTCAGAATTATACAAAACAATTGAGTCAGAGAAGAGTCTCTGTGTTCATCTGTGCTGCTCTACCCCCACACCACCTTTTTCTCTCCCGTTTCCCACCTGACCCCCTGTAAGTAACCATCGTTTTGGTCCCCACTGTGTTCTTTCTGTATTTCTTTTGCACAAGTCAGCAGTTGCCTGTGTGTTTTCCCTTATCCCCTTATATTGAGGGTAGCTGAACAATCCTGAGTGGTGGTTCACGCCTGTAATCCCAGCTACTCAGGAAGTGGATAGGAGAATTGAGGTCTGAGACAGCCAAAAACCACCTTGTCTAAAAACACTAATGCAGACGTTGTAGAGCATTTGTCTAGGAAACATGAGGTCCTGAGTTCAAACCCCAGTACTGCCCAAAAGAAAGAGGAGGAGGAGGAGGAGGAGGAGGGCAGCTGACTGTATTTTTGCGCACTTTTTTTTTTTGGACCGGGTCTCCCTATCTAGTCCTGGCTGGCCATGAACTCAAAATCCTCCTGTTCATACAGCGGGCAGATTTCTCAGCACCATGAAGATTCTGTTTTTCTGCAAATGTTTACCTGGTCATTTTAGCACCTGTGAGTGGATCATGTCTGCTCTCATCCTGAGTCACCAAGATTACAGGCCAGACCACCACTCCTGGTTGCACTGTGTTTTTTGTGAACACCTGTCCATGTTCATTTTACACCCCTGTGAAGAGGGCGTCCACTGAGTGAGTTCCTATCTGTGGGCATTTAGGTTGCTACCAGATATTTGCAATGACAGTGACACTTGCCATGAGTGACCTGGTGTGCCTGCATTTCAAATTGCTGGAGGATGAACCTGCTCCTTCAACCTTACACTGCACCCCAAGCCATTTTTAAAGCCATGATTTGGGTGCTGACATTTAAGAACTTGATGCTGTCACTTAAAAATCTGGATTGGGGCTGGGCATGGTGGTGCATATCTGTAGTCCCAGCTACTCAGAAGGCAGAGGCTCACAGTCTGAGGTCAGCCAAGGCAAAGTTAGCACGAGACCCTAACTAAACAAGCTATAGCAAAACGAGAAAGGCTGGGATGTGGTAGAGAGCTTGACCAGAAAGCTTGAGTTCGAACCCTAGTACTGCCAAAAAAAAAATATTCTGAATTTGTGCATCTGTCCATACTGCATGTGCTCCCAAAATATAAAAGAAGCTGCTGTGCAAAGACTGACTCTCGATGCAGATAGGTTTGGTGGCACTGGGCCAGCTTCCTGTCTGACATCAATCAGCACAGCTGAGCTATGGCTGTCCCTTTTCCACAGGGTGGGGTCTGGAGTTTTCGCATGCTCGTAGCTTCCTGCTGCCTTCCGGTGGCCCTGTCCTCATTATGTCGCCTAACTGGCCTCCAGACATCTGCACGGGCGTCCCCAGGCTGATACCATGTGCCTGTGACGAGTGGCACAGGGCTGAAATCCAGGAGAGAAGAATGAGTGATGACACTCCCCAGGTCACCCTGACTGTGCTGGCATCATTCCAGCAGGACCCAGGATGCTCTGTGGGAACCAAAGCCTGCAGAGGCCTGAGGCCGAGGATACGATGCCATTTGCCTGTCGCCTACACACAGACTCCTGTAGGGTTTTTTTTTTTTTTTTTCTGGTATTGAGCTTGAACTCAGGGCCTTCACCTTGAGCCACTCCACCAGCCCTATTTTTGTGAAGGGTTTTTCCAGATAGGGTCTCGTGCACTATTTGCCTGGGCTGGCTTTGAACCTCAATCCTCCTGATCTCTGCGTCCTAAGTAGCTGGGATTACAGGCGTGAGCCACCAGGTCAGGCAAGATTACCTGTAAAATCTAATGTAATATCAGTGTGTGAATGGTTGTTGCTCTGATGTCTAGGGGAATAATGACAAGAAAACAGTCCTTGCGTGTTTGATGCAGACTGTGTGAGTGTGTGTGTGTAACTGGGTTTCGAACTCATGGCCTCAGGCTTGCTAGGCAGGTGCTCTACCACTTAAGCCACACCCCCAGCCCTTTGTGCTTTAGTCATTGTTTCAGATAGAGTGTTTCGTTTTTTGGTTTGGTTTTGTTTTGCCCAGTGGGCCTCAGACCCCAGTCCTCCTACCTAAGGCCTCCTGTGTATCTGGGAGATGGGATCTTACAAATACTGTTTTTGCAGGTGCTGGCCTCAAACTGAAATCCTCCTGACCTCTGCCTCCTGAGTAGACGGGGATACAGGCCCAGACATATATCATATTTTTATTTTTTTTTTGGTGGGACTGGGGTTTGAACTCAGGACTTTGCACTTGCAAAGCAGGCACTCTGCTGCTTGAGCTACCCCTCCAGTCCATTTGGCTGTGGTTATTTTGGAGATGGGGTTCTTGGGAACTATTTGCACAGGCGGGCCTCGAACCTCAATCCTCTGGATCTAGCCTCCCAAGTAGCTAGGATTACAGGCCTGAGCCACCAGCGCCGGGCTGACGCCATTTCTTTTTACAGATATTTTTGATCCACAGTTGGTTGAATCTCAGAATGTGACGCCCCCGCATACATACAGAAAGGATTACAGGCAGGATGGCATTATTTATTCCATTACACAGCTGGGGAAACTGAGGCTCTGGGAGGTGAAGTGACTTGGCAAAGAGAGCACAGCATGGAAATGGCAGAGCTGGGATGGACCTGGGCCAGCTGCAGACCGTGTGTCCTTGACTCTCCGTTCCCGCCCCCCCCCAGGCGAGCCGGGCTGCATGACGGTGACGTGGACCACGTGGGCGCCGGCGCGCTCCGAGGTGCAGTTTGGGACGCAGGGGTCCGGGCCACTGCCGCTCCGGGCACAGGGCGTCGCCAGCGCCTTCGTGGACGGGGGCATCCTCCGGAGAAAGCTCTACATCCACCGGGTGACGCTGAGACGGCTGCTGCCCGGGGTCCAGTATGGTGAGGGGGACCCCAAGGTGAGGGGGGACACGGTGTAGGGCCACCTGAGCCGGGCTGGTCCCTCCCCTGCCCGCCCCAAGTATGAGGCCCTGGGGTGGGGAAGACCCAGCTTCTCCAGTCCACCCGCCAGATGTGGGAGGCCTCCCCGCCGACCTTGACCTTAACTTTGACCTTGACCTTTTCCTGTCCCCTCAGTTTACCGCTGTGGCAGTGCTCAGGGTTGGAGCCGGCGTTTCCGCTTCAGGGCCTTGAAGAATGGGGTGCATTGGAGCCCACGCCTGGCTGTGTTTGGGGACCTGGGGGCCGACAACCCCAAGGCCCTGCCCAGGCTGCGCCGGGACACCCAGCAGGGCATGTACGATGCCATTCTCCACGTGGGTGAGGCCCGGGCACGGGTGGGCTGGGTGGGGGACCCAGTGGCTGGTATGGGGCGAGACTGGCTGGGGAGACCAGGTCTGTGGTTCATCAGACTGTCCAGGTCAAAAATTATTATTATTATTATTATTATTGCAGGTAAGGCTAGTTCAGAATTCACAGTTCTGTTGTAATAAATGAGTCAGGTGTGGTGGTATACGCCTGTAATCCCGGCACATTGAAGATCTCAAGTTCCAAGTCAGCCTGGCTACATAGTGAGACCCTGACTCAACAAACCAAGGACTGTAGCCGGGCGCCAGTGACTCACACCTGTAATCCTAGCTCCTCAGGAGGCAGAGATCAGGAGGGTTGTGGTTCTAAGTCAACCCCAGGCAAATAGTTTGCAAGACCCTATCTCAAAAAACCCTGTCACAAAAAACGGCTGGCGGAGTGGCTTAAGGTGAAGGCCTGAGTTCAAATCCCAGTACCCAAGAAAACAAAAAGCAAGGACTGGGGATGGAGCTCAGTGGTAGAGAGGTAGAGAGCTTGCCTCGCATGTGCAAAGGTCCTGGGTTCCATCCCAGCACCTCTGGAACTGACACGACAAGTTATTGTCGCTGACCTTGTTACTCAGGGAACAGGGCCAGGGAATGAGTGACAGGAGATGGGGCCTCTGTGGTTCAGTGAGCAGACGGTGGAATCAGGCCTCTCTGGTTTGTCACTAGCCAGCTCTGTGACACTATGCTTCAGTTTCCCTTCCGTCCTTAGAGGGGCTTTGGATATTTCAGTGACAGTTCCTGGCACATCACCCCAAACCCGATCTGTCTTCATGTCGCTGTTTTCTGGGAAGGGATGATAGGCAGACAGAGATGGGGCTGGTGTGGTCAGCTCACAGCAGACACCGAGGTCCTGGGGGGACCCCAGGCTCCCTGAGCAGATGGGTGCGGGGTAGGGATGGGGAGCCACGCCTGTGCCACCAGGTCTCTCCGTCCCGGTGAGAGCAGAGCCCCATCTGGTCCTTAGTCTCTCCATCCCTCCCTCCATCCCCTCCAGGAGACTTCGCCTACAACATGGACCAGGACAACGGCCGAGTTGGGGACAGGTTCATGAGAGTCATTGAGCCCGTGGCCGCCAACCTGCCGTACATGACGTGCCCTGGCAACCACGAACAACGCTAGTGAGCCCCGAGCGCTGCAGGGACGGGCAAAGGCCAGAGGGGTGAAAGTGGCCTGTGCTTCATGGTGTCTAGCCTTTAGTCCCTCATGCTGCAGTGTGTTACTTGCGGTGTCAAGAGGAGAAGAAATGAGGGTGGACCTGGAGCTGGACCTGCCCAGCAGTGGGGAGACGGGCAGCATCCAGGCCCTCACCCCCAAACACACACCCCTTTTTACTTCTTTCTTTTTTTCCCAGCAACTTCTCTAACTATAAGGCTCGCTTTAGTATGCCTGGGGACAATGAAGGCTTGTGGTACAGGTAATCTGGGGGTGCTGGGGGACTGGCCTTGCTCGGCTGAAGGAAGGGAGGAGCAGGGGACACCCCATCTCTGACCCTGTCCTTTGCCCTCCCATAGCTGGGATATCGGGCCGGCCCACATCATTTCCTTCTCCACCGAGGTCTACTTCTTTCTCCATTACGGCCACCACCTGGTTCAGGAGCAGTTCCGCTGGCTGGAAAGGGACCTCCAGGTGGGCTGGCTGGAGGTCCCCTGGGTCCCTCGGCCAGTATCCCCCACACCCTGCTGTCCCTCACTCAGACCTTTCTCTCCAGAAAGCCAACGCGAACCGGGTGGCTCGCCCGTGGATCATTACCATGGGCCACCGACCCATGTACTGCTCCAACGCTGACCTCGATGACTGCACGCGACACGAGAGCAAGGTGAGGACACCCCCGGGGGACATCAGCGGTGGGGGACAGGTGACCCAAATCACCCTCACCTCCTGCTCCTTGTGCCAGGTCCGCAAAGGCCTCCGAGGCAAGCTGTATGGGCTGGAGGATCTCTTCCACAAATACGGTGAGTGGCCTTTGGGGACCTTTGGGGGACACCACGTCCCTCTCCCCCATCCCAACCTCCCCCCCCACTTTTTCTGCCCCAGGAGTGGACCTGGAGCTGTGGGCACACGAGCACTCGTACGAGAGGCTGTGGCCGATTTACAACTACCAGGTGAGGCTGGGAGAGGCTGAGGAGCCGTGGTGGCGATGGCAGTGTGACCTGACGTGTCACCTCCTGTTCCTTCTCCAGGTCTTTAACGGCAGCCGGGAGACGCCTTACACCAACCCTCGGGGTCCTGTCCACATTATCACAGGATCTGCGGTGAGCGGGTCGGGAAGGGGGTGCCAGCCTGGGGGTGCTGCTTATACAGTAGCTGACTTGACCCTGAGCCCAAGGCCGGGAACTCCCACGTGCACACCCACTGAACAGATGGGGAAACTGAGGCTCTGGCAGGAAACCCAGAGCCTCCGGTTGAATAACCGGCAGGAGACGGGGGTTCCTCCACCCCGTGAACCTTTTATTCTTCCTTTTTTTAATTTATTAATATTTTAGGGGAGGCACTTTTAGACCACGCAAAAGTGTATGCCTGGGAAGGCTGAGGCAGGAGGACAAGTTCAAGGCTAGTATAGATGACATATTGAGACCCTCTCTGTAAAGAAAGTGTTCTAACTGGGTGCTGGTGGCTCACGCCTGTCATCCTAGCTACTCAGGAGGCAGAGATCAAGAGGAGTGAGGTTCAAAGCCAGCCTGGGCAAACAGTCCAGCCCTCCTTCCTTCCCCGGCTCTATGTAGCCCAAGCTGGCCTCCTCTTGCCCCGTCCTCCTGGGCGCTGGGATTACAGGCACACACCACAGAGCCCACCTGAGGGCTCATTTTTCAAGTTGTCTCTTACAAGTGAGTCAGATCCAAGTACAACTCACTCATGATCAAAATTCCTACAGCTCAGAGGGCAGGCGGCGAGCACGGCCGCCCACACCCCCTCCCTGCTGCCCTCAGTTCTTAGTCTCTGGGTGGCGTTTGTGACTGTCCTCTGCATATGCAAATGAGTCACCGTCTAGACACGGATGTGTTATCCTGTCTTCTGCTTTTCAGAATGACTCTGGTGGTGCCTCACGCCCAGTGGTTTTCCGTTTAGCGTGTGTCACAGTACACCAAATTTTTTTCTTAGTTTTTGGGTTATTTGGCAGCACTGAGAATTGAACTCCAGCCCTTCCTGCTTTAGTTTGTTTTTCACATAGGGGCTCGTGCTTTTGCCTGGTAGACTTCGACCACGATCGTCCTGCCTCTTCCTCCAGATTAGCTGGGATTGCAGGTGTGCACCACCACGCCCAGCAAATACACTTTTATTTTTTGAGGTACCAGGGATCAAACTGAGGCCCCTCGTGTGCACACCCACAGCCCTCTCTCCCTCTCATTCTTATTTTCAGATTCAGTCACGCATAAATTGCAGGGCTGGTGGGAGTGGCTCAGGTGGTAGAGCACCTGCCTAGCAAGTGCAAGGCCCTGAATCCAAACCCCAGTACTGCCAAAAAAAATCACTGCAGTATAATAATCAAATTCAAGTACTAAGCATCGATAATACACTGTTATCCAATCTACACACCTTGTTCACATGAACCAGTGGTCCCAGTAGTGTCCTTTAAATAAAAGCAAAGAATTTTTTTCAGCCCAGGAGCTAGTCTATAATCAGATGTTATGTTAGGTCTTGTGCCTCTTTAGCTTCCTTTAGTATTATTTTTGTGGGATTTTTTTCTTTTTTGATACAGGTTCTTGCTGTGTAGCCCAGGATAACCTTCAACTTGAGATCTTCCTGCCTCACCCTCCCGAGTGCTGGGATTACAGGCGTGCATCACCACACTCAACCTCTTTAGCTCCCTTTAATCAGAATCAGGCCCCACCCTTTCTTCCTCTTCCATGACAATTTTGAAGAGCGCTTCGAAGTTCTTTTGTAGACCCCCCCATTTGGATTTGTCTGGTGCTAGCTCCTGACCGGGCTGAAGTCGTGTGTTTTGGGTCTCCGAAGTCATCCTGAGGGCCCGGTGCCTGTGGTCCTCGTGCTCCCCAGCGGGACATGTGGCACGGATCTGACTCGCTCCCGAAAATGAACGGCTTCATCACTTGGTGAAGGCTTCTCCGGGCCTTGCTCCACCTGACGCACTTTGTTCCTCTGTGACTAATAAGTAATGAGCAAGTGGCTCCTGAGGACAGACTGAAATTGTGCAGCCACCCCGTCACTCCTCAGACTCCCCCCACCGGCTCCTGCTGTGTGGACGCCCTTGCTCTGATCTCTCAGTACAATGCTGGGTGTCAAGTGCTGATTTTCTCTATTATTTTTAGCTGCAATGGGGTTTGAACTCAGGGCTTCACACTTGCTAGGCCCGCGCTCTACCGCTTGAGCCACTCCACCAGCCCTTTTTCGCTTTAGTTATTTTTCAAATAGGGTCTCAAGTTTCTGCCTGGGGGTCCTCAGATCCCAATCTTCCTACCTGTGCCTCTCACATAGCTGGGATTACATGCATGAGCCATCATGCCCAGCTAGTTTGTTGAGATGGAGTCTTGCTGGCCTCAAATCTTGATCCTCTGCACCTCTGCCTCTGGGGTAGCTGAGATTACAGGCATGAGCCACTGCACTCGCATGGCTTTGTCTTTCTTGAGAGCATCAGTGTCCTGACCTGGCACCTGGCAGGTCATATCTGCTGTCTTTGGATTCTCCACCTGCCCCAGTGCCAGAGCTGACCAACTGTCCTCCACAGGGCTGTGAGGAGCGTCTGACCCCCTTCTCTATCTTCCCGAGGCCCTGGAGTGCTCTGCGCGTGAAGGAGTATGGCTATACACGACTGCACATCCTCAATGGAACCCACGTCCACATCCAGCAGGTGTCCGATGACCAGGTCAGTGAGGGGCAGGCTGGGGCATCTCACTGAGCAGCCAGACCTAGGTTGCTCTAGAGGTGAGTGGTGAAAACCTTGGGCTTGCCGGGCATGATGGTACACAGCTGTAATCCCAGCTACTCGGGAGGTGGAGGTAGGAGGATCTCGGCCAAAAGCATGAGATCCTATCTAAAAACAAACTAAAAGCAAAAGAACTGGGAGCATGGCTCAAGTGGCAGAGCACTTGCCTGGCAAACTTGAAGCCTTGAGTTCAAGTCCCAGTACCACCAAAAAAAATATTAAAACCCCCCAAAACTATATATAAATATCATCTCAATCCCCGTAACGTCCACGATGTGGGTACCATCACCACATCTGCACTTTTCAAATGAGGAGAACGGAAGCTCAGAGAGGTGTAGCAACTTACTCAAGGTCACACGGCCCATTAGAGGCAGAGATGGGATTTGAACCCAGGCCAGCTGGCCTCAGAGTCCAGGCTCTCAATCCTCACTGCTTTCCCTGTTTCTGTCCCTCCCAGGACGGAAAGATTGTAGATGACGTCTGGGTGGTGAGGCCTCTGCTTGATCGGATGATGTACCGTTAAGGATGGGGGTCCACTCTCATCAGGAACTCTGAGCCTTGCCGCCTGGGGCTGGGCGGGGAGTCAGGGCAGGCCCCTGCTCCGTTGCCCTCCAGTGGCTCATGGGCGCAGCCCTGAGGGAGCTGGGGCGGATCTGTCCTCCGGGAGATGTGGGAGCCCTGGCTGGCTGCAGAGGGAGGGCAGCTTTGCAGGTACTGCGTGGAGCAGGGCAGGTCTCAGCCAGCATAGCCCCACCTTCCTGGCTAGCCCCGGAAGGACACCTATGCCTCGGGAATAAAGAGGCTTGCTGCTGTGGCTGCGTGGACTTGCACTTCCGGTGACCATGGCCTTGATCCGCCTCCCCTCCTTGCCCAGGGTGAGGGGCTGCACCAGGTCCAAGTCAGCAAGGTGGACACAGCTGTCATGACCTCACTCGCCAGCAGGGGGCGATGGTGGCTTTTTGGTCCCATCCTGACTCTCAGTCCATCTCCAGCCTCCACGGTACAGGGAGTGTCTGTTGTGCCTCAGTTTCCCAGATGGCACTGTCTTCTCCAAGAAGAGGGGACGTGGGACAGTGCCTGCCTCCTGGATGGCACATCTGTCAAGTCTTGGGAGCTGGTACACCTGCAGTTCCTCCCTCTCCTTTTCCCTCCTCTTCTGGCCCCTCTTCCTTTCATCATCTCCGATGTCCTCCCTGTTCGTGACGCTGTGTCCAGGGAATTGGGAGAGAAACGCAGTTATCAAAGAGTGACAAATGCTCAGAAAAGGCAGGGAAAGGGCGACAGAGAGCAGGGGACAGTGTCCGTTTCCAGGGAGACCTCACTGAAAGGGTGACGTTTGATGTGAAGAAGAAGGCAGGGGGCACAGATGGGGTGAGGTACGGGGGGAAGAACTTTGCAGGCGGCCAGTGCAAAGGTCCTGAGGCAGAAAGGTGCCTGCTCTGTTGGGAGCGTCAGCGAGGAGGCCGGTGCGGCCGGCAGAGAGAGGAGATGAGGGCAGGGTGGTGACACGTTGTGTGGAGTCTTGTGGACCACAGTGAGGATTTTGGATGACGTCACGTGGTAGCTGTGGAGTAGGTAAAGGATGAGGTATGATGTCAGAGTCCCGAGTGAAGGCCGGGCTCTGGTCCCTGGGCTGTGGGCTGCTTCTGGCGGGTTCCCAGCCCTGCAGGATGACCTCGTATCTATTCCTTCGTCGTGCTGAGCAAGCTGGGCGCCAGTGGCTCACGCCTGTAATCCTAGCTACTCGGGAGGCAGAGATCAGGAGGATCACGGTTCAAAGCCAGCCTGGGAAAATAGTTTGGGAGACCCCCATTTCCAAAATAACCAGAGCAAAATGGACTGGAGGAGTGACTCAACTGGTAGAGTGCCTGCTTTGCAAGTGCAAAGCCCTGAGTTCAAATCCCAGTCCCACCAAAAAAGAAAAACAAACAAAAAACCCATTGTACTGAGCATTTTCTGCCTCTTCAGGCCTTATTGCCCCCCAACCCCACTCAGTCCAAGGACCAGGGGCCTCATGGAAGTTTCTGGAACACACAAGGCACTGGCTGCTGCTTCCCGTATGCTGTCTCCCTGGTTCATTCCGAGTTGGCTTTGGTCTTGTCAACCGTGGTTCTCAGTCGCAGGGTCCCCTCCTCAGAGCCCCTCTCATGACCCCAGCTTAAAACCGTCCTCCGGGGCACTCTGTCCCGTCCCTGCTTTACTTCAGCATACAGTTCGCTCATTGATTCCATTCGCTGTCTGTCTGTCCCTGGAGCTCAGGGACACTTTGCTCGTACTCGAGTCTATGGCCTCCACCAAACCTGCCCAGGCCGGGCTGGGGTCTCAGGCACCACTTCTTCCTAGGCCTGTCCTTTCTGAGCCATCGCTGTGTCACAGTGGCTCTCCGACTGCCCCGCAGGAAGGGCAAGGTCAGGAGGACAGGGCCCAGGGCTGCAGCCCGCGTCACCCAGGCAGCATCAGATCAGTGAAGGATCAGCCCAATCCTGCTGTGTGGGAGCTGACAGGCGTCCGTCACCCAACCCTGTGACAGCCACTGAAGAAATGCCATGGACGGGTGGCCAAGACTGTGATGTCACAGCCTGAGAGTCACATCAGGCTGTGGCCAAAGACGGAGCCGGTGGTCGCAAGGGCTGGGCGAGGCTGCGGCCATACTGGGTGATGGAGTCTGTGGAGGGCAGAGGCCTGGCACTGGGCCAGGCAGCAGAGGGGTTCGAGTCCAGCTGTGTCACTTCCTGTGTGACCGTGGGCAAGTCCCCAGCCCTCTGTGAGCGTCTGTCTCTTCATCTGTAACTTCGCCATGGTAACAGTTTGTGGGCTTCCTTGGGATTAAATCAGAGTTCAAGGTCGTGGTGCTGTCTTCTTTTTCTCATTAGCTCATGAATTCTGTGGCTTTGTTTAGGTTTATTGGAGACAGGGGCTCGCGCTATAGCCCAGATTGGCTTGGAACTGGTGATCCTCCTGCCACCGCCTCCCGGCTGCTGGGATTGCATGGGTGTGCCACCATGCCGACTTGGGTTTTGCCTTTAAAAATTATCTAGAGCCGGGCACCAGTGGCTCACACCTATAATTCTAGCTACTCAGGTGGCAGAGATCAGGAGGATCAAGGTTCAAAGCTGACAGATGGTTCAAGAGACCCTATCTTGAAAAAAAAAATCACAAAAAAAGTGCTGGCGGAGTGGCTCAAGGTGTAGGCCCTGAGTTCAAACCCCAATACCACACACACACACACACACACACACACACAAAGTATCTAGAATCTCCCTCCATGTGGACACCTGCATCTGGTCACATCCCTCCCTTACCCAGAGCCCTCCTGTGACTCCATGTCACTCCAGTCCATGTGGCCCCATCACCTCCCTGCCCTTGCTTCTCCACTCACTCCCCCGCCCACTCTGGTCCAGCCACGCTGACCTCTGAATCAGGTTTGTCTTCCACCTTTGCATTGGCTGTTCCTTCTGCCCACAACACTGTTCCCCAGGTGCCACACGGCTCCCTCCCTCTTCTCCTTCAGGTCTGTACTCAGTCACCTTCTTAATGAGGACTTCCCGGCCACCATCTTTAAACAGCCCCAGCTGGGAATGTGGCTTAGTGAGACAGCACTTGTCTAGTAAGCAAAAAGTCCTGAATACCATCCCTAGCAATAAAAAATAAAATAAAACACTGCCCCCAATCTCCAATTTCCATCTCCTTTCCCTGCTCCATTTCATTTAGAATATTTAGATCTTATGGTCTAGGATAGCCAGGCACGCCTATAATCCCAGCACTCAGAGGGCTGACAGGCCAGGCAATGTTAGCAAAAGATCCCATGTCAACAACAAGCTGGGCATGGGGGTACATGCCTGTAATCCCAGCTACACAGGGGGCAGAGGTCAGAGGATCACAGGCTGGGGCAGGCAAATGTGTGAGACCCTTTTTAAAAAATAAACTAAAGCAAAAGGGTTAGGGGCGTGGCTCAAGTGGTAGAATGCTTGCCCCGAGTTCAAACCCCAGTACCACCAAAATGAAAAACAAAAAAACAGAGTCAGGGGCTGGTGACTCACTCCTGTAATCCTAGCTACTCAGGAGGCAGAGACCAGAGGGTCATGGTTTGAAGCCAGCCTAGGCAAATAGTTTGTGAGCTCGTATCTCGAAAATACTCAACGCAAAAAAGAGCTGGTGGAGTGGCTCAAGTGGTAGAGCGCCTGCCTGGCAAACATGAGGCCCTGAGTTCAAGCCTCAGTGCTGGCAAAAAAATGAAAAAGGAAAAGAAAGACCAGTGGACTCCCAGGCCCAGGGTTTTTCACAGATTCACGCCTATGCTGGCACACAGTGGCTACCCAGTATGAAGTGAGAAATGCGAGTGCAATGCCACTCGGGAAGCACGCGACACAGAACGGGAAGGATGCCAATTCTGGTGAATCAGATCACGGCCAGCCTTTGGGAGCTGGGCCATGGGTGCCCGTGAGGCTGCACATCCTGCTGATCGCCACGCCTGTCCCAGGCCACGTGCACAGGAAGGGATGGGTTGCAGGGCCAAAGGCCCTGAGGCTTCTGGGAGGCAGGACTGAGGGAGGATTTTGGAGTCTGCTCGGATGAAATGAAGATAGTATTGCAGGACCCAAGAGGCATTGTGACCTGTTTCTCCTGGCGGCTGAAATTAACGTGGCCATAAAAGCATCTTTCTATAGCATTGCTTTGTTTTTGGAGCAGTTTTGCAGAAAAAATGCAAAGATGGTAGGTTGCCATAAACCAGAAAACCCCATACCCAGCCTCCCTGTTAAAATCTTGTGTTAGCGCTTACACTTTCCCAATTCATCAGCCAACAGGACCAATTAGCTAAAGCGCGTGCTTTATTATACTGCATTTTTTGTTGCTTTTTTTTTTTTTTTGGCAGTCGTGGGATTTGAACTCAAGGTTTCACACTTGCTAGACAGCCACTCTATCACTTGAGCCACTCCACCAGCCCTTTTTGTGATTTTTTTTTTCTAGCTAGGGTCTCAAGAACTGTTTGCCTGGGTTAGCCTTGAGCCACAATCCTCCTGATCTCTGCCTCCTGAGTAGCTAGGATTGTGAGCCACCAGCTCCCTGTGGTCAGGAACTGTCAGCAGTTATTATTCAACAGGCAGGCCTCACACACAGCATCCAGCGGGTGCATTTATTGCATGAATCTGAGCACTTCTCAGAGCTTTGGTGTTAAGGGCTGGCAGAGTGGCTCAAGTGGTAGAGCACCTGCCTTGCAAGCACAAAGTCCTGAGTTCAATCCCTAGGACTGCCCCCAAAAAGCTATTAAAAAATCTGTTTCTGTCTTGTAAATAAGTGTATTAGCTACTTTTTCTCATTGTTTTGACAAAATGCCTGACAAACAATTTAAGAGAGGATATATTTATTTTTTTAGTTTTTGGCAGTACTGGGGTTTTTTCAGGGCCTCTTGCTTGCTAGGCAGGCACTCGACCACTTGAGCCATGCCTCCAGTCCCCTCCCCATTTATGTATGTATCTGTGTATATGTTTTTGGCTTTGATTACTTTATACATAGGGTCCCTCT